TACTTACTGGTAAACTTAACTTCCCTTCGTTTTCCCGTGAATGACCTAATTCAGTTCTCTTGAGCCACAGCGTGAGCAAATCCTCAGATAAGAAAGGATGTATTGTGAGTGTCCTCTACACTGGCGTCAGGTGAATCGGACCCCATCGAAAGCTGCGCTTTCAATCCCGTTGTTTGGGTTAATCATTACACCCAATGCCTAACAAGGTGATGGTCCGAGTTCGTTATTGAACGTGCGATCAGCTTATTTCTCGCAGTCCACAAAGTTACATAGCTTAAAGAATTACAGGATGCAACCTCATGAATCCGATGCCCTTCTATTTCCTGAACGAAAGGTAATCGATAGACGTCATAATCAGTGGTCACTCCATCAGGGCGTCTGAAATGAGATTTAAGCAACAGCTGATTTATCGTCAGCAATAGTTATGACTGAATTTTTTTACTTCATTCGCATGCCCATTATCCTCCATGCTACTTTGACAGGTCCTGTTCTCTCCTCTATACTTCCCACCATATGCGATTCACAGAAATTCGCCACATCGCGTGCCTATACAATTTTTGTTTAGCGAAGGATCGAAAAAACTCGTCATACCTTGACTGGCTTTTTTTGGGCTTTCTGGTAGGAAGACACCTTATCGGTGTTCTTCCGCAGGAACAGCACGTTTGTGAGTGCTTCCAATTCTTTTCTATTAATCCTGAAATGGATAAATGGATCACCTAAGTGAGGCTTCTACTTAAGGACTTTCAACTACTGGCACCAGCGAGGAGGATTTCAAGACAACATCGGGCAATCCAGANCCCAAGCTTTCTTTTTGGAGACGACCGCGAATCGCCTCACAGGTACTTCTTCATCACTCGAATGCAAGCTTTCGGCTGAGCCGAAGGGCAGGATACTATCTGCACCCACAAACTCTCCACACACGTATGCGTGGATACGCCTGCGAGAAACAGAAGGTATATCGACCAGCACAGCAGAATCAGGGAATCCATCCCCTGAGTCCTCCTGCGTCTCTGGGCAAGTACTGGCGACTTTTAGTGGGCGATTGAGTCCCTTATCCGCCACCTGGGGACGCCCTACGTAGCCTCGTCGCTAACCGGCTGGGACCCTTCAGTGAGAGAGAACCCTCAGTGAAGGAAATCCGTAGATTACTTGCAATTGTAAACAGGATTTTAGGGCAACATCTAGTGTTAACTTGCGTGGAGCAATAGAATGGCCATACTAATCACTGGTATCATTGCTATCCTGGTTACCATTTTCAACAACGTCAATGGTGTCATTCGAGAAGAGTAAGGGGAATTGTATTACGAGCAGCAGTGTGAGTTGGCTATGTTACCCACATTACTGTTCACAACTCATCTCACACATGTGTTTGTAGATATATAGATACTTCTAGGCTTATGTATGTGTGAATGTGAATGTGCATATGTATATAATACAATATATATGTACCCGTCGGGTCGCCCGGCTTACTCCGGGCATCATTCCTTACTTTTACCAAGTAGTTCGAAAGTGTAGTTAGGAAGGGGAGGGGGACATTGAATCTATTCAACACTGAGGGCTAGAGTGCAGAGGAGGGGTAGCCCAACGGACTTGTACTTAGAGACGGTTCTAGGCAAAAGAATATAGTTTCGAGCTATGCCTTAGTAGGGGAAGAGCGGCGGGGTGGAGGCGGAATGATTATTTCGTGCATAAAGCTGGAAAGGGGTATGAGTTAAATATTCAATTGGCTCACCCACTTAGATAGATACCTCTTCCTCCCTAAAGCTCAGATCGAAAAAACTGTATGTTCTCGGCTAAGAAACGTTAGTGAGCTTAATCATGGGCTAACCTCCGTATGTTGAAAAAAGAGGGGGTTACCCCACTATATTACCCCTCTGATTTTTATTAAGACATACATAGCATGATGCCAGTGCAGATCAAATCACAGTTCTGAAGTAACCGCTTCCCTCCTCATCACTCACTTCACTCCGCAGTACCCACTCTTCTACTTTAACCTACCCACCATGCTACTGCTTTATATATAAGAAGGAAGTGTAGAATAGAGCAAGGTTTTCCATATCACTACCTTTATCGTAATCCTAAGTTTTGCGGACGGACGGATAGACGAACCGGCACACCGACTCACCGACACACTGACAAGCTTACAAGCCGATACACCACGTTTCTGCTTTATAAATGATCGATAGATATGTGTAAGGGTGTCTATAGGGATAACGACAAGGCCCTACTACATCGTCATATCAGTTGGTCCAAACGACAACTTGAAAACGAGGGACTCTTCGGATGCTGAATCTGTGAACTACTCCGCGGCTGTGTTCTGTCCTGCTACCTACTGTGCCGAATGTTTCCAACAGTTTCCAAATGATACAGTCACCCCTGATTTTCCCAAAAACTCACATTTGGAAACGCACTGTACATATCACAACTTCTTTGTAAATAAGGAAGGGCTAACGAGTGGATGACGGATCGACTCACGGATGGGTAGAAAAGAACAGGATGCGCTTACTCTGGAGTCTTCGAGGCTGCACTTTTATCTTCAGTGATAGTGGACGACATGCTTGACTACTTTCAATGACTGAACGAGTACGAATGAACGTGCATCGTTCTCAGTGCAATGCAATGCAGTATATAATCACTGTAGATGCGTTAGTGATAATAACTTGGTAAATACATTCGGAAACGATTGCTTTAAGAAGGTGATGCTTCAACACGGGAAAACGAACTGTTCCGCCTGTTTGTAGATGACTTTGAAGGAGGAGGGCAATCCTAACCTGCCATCTCGTCGCCTGTGCCACTATCATGTCGGTCTAGGTCAAAAGAAGGAGGCTGTCCGTCCAGAAGTCGGTTAAACCACATTCGCGTACACATGCACGCACCAAAGCCAGCGTTCACGCTTACCTTTCATACATAAAGTCTCTTCTTCAAGGATGATAATTACGCCATCCTTGCAGGATGCATCTATGATATTCTCTTTTATTTCTTGCAGTTTGGTGCCAACCCTTCCCAAATAACTTCCCAGAGGGATCACTCCAACTGACTGGGAGTCTTACTGGCGGCCTTTTAAGTTTACAGTAGTCACTCAAGATGTCTGTCGCTGTAACACGAATGACATTACAGACCTTGCGGCTCTCGCCTACTTTATCGCATTTTCAGTCCCTAGCAATTGTTATTAATTCCTATCAGCAAACATCCCACCTTAAGTCACACCCCCTGCCGAAGTGCCATGACTAATGAAGGTGGTAACGAATTTGGCGGTCTTGAATTGTCAGCTCCTATTAACCGTTATCACTCCCTACCCTCTATCATCAGTGTTCTCATCCCACCATCGTCAGTGCTACCTAATCTGGATCTAGAGCCAATCAAGATCTAGAGCCTCGAGAAAAACCTGCAGAGCTTCATAAATGATTCCATGGTCGTCCTTATCACAAGCCTCTTGAATAATTTCATCGGCGTACATTTAGAACCTGATTTCGGAAACGTTTTGAGGAGTCCTGGACACTCCAAAGTGTAAATGGGAAAAACAACGCAGATAGCACTACGCCCTGAGGAACGTAATTATGCCCTCGCACTTCCTCAAACAGTCTGTTCCAATATTCACTGTCATAAACTACTGCTAAGAAAGAAGGTGAGTCAGTTCAAAGGTTTTCCACGAACGCTCAGCTCTTCTAGTTAGGTAAGGAGTTTCCCAGGCCATAGTAGGAAAAGTCGACCGTCTTGCAAAAGTCAAACATAGCATCAGCAAAAATGATCGCAGTTGAGGAAACTGAAATGAAACTGTGTTGCTCTAGAGGCATGAAATGTTTCTCGACCGGAGCAAGACTGATTGACCGAAAATTGTTGAGATTAGAAGAAGTCGACTTTTGAATGGGATAACGATAGCGCTCGTCCATGGTCGAGTTGCTTCACCGGAAAGCTACAGATGAAGATTACTGGTAATTCATGTAAGAATTTTGTTAACTTCAAATAAGTATGTAACTCTACAGCTAATTGAGCGATTTTGATGTTATGAGCACTTGTGATGAAGCTAAGATCTTTGGTTAGGTTACACAATGATCTCTGAGACGAGATCTTTGTGTAACCTCGGAGCTTTCCTCGCATCCGAAGCTAAATAATTTGATGATCCGCCTCTGAAGCTACATCGAGTTTATTACGATCGCAAAGAAACCTTTGTTACGATATTTATGGATAAGAAGGAAGGAGGATTCTGAGCCTGTTCTCTTCAGGCATTTCGGAAGAATTTCATGAGAACCACCCAACTGTTGCTAGACTATTTCAAAACGAAAATTCGCTCACCAAATAATTTTGTGAGAGTTCATTGAGCCCCAGTGAGTTTCTTTGGTCTTCCAGTCTTCCAGTCCACGAGTAGACTTCTTACCAGGATTTATTTCGATTCGGTGCATATTCTAAGACGTATAACTGCACTGAGTAACCACAGACATGTGATGGAGCCTAATTCACGCGGTCATGAATAAAAAAGCGGTTAGATTGTCGTATTCTTCGCCTTCGCCATCGGAATTGCCAAAAATATTCAGATGTGCAAACAAAAACACAAACAAAGGTAGACAAAGGACCGGGTTAGAGACAAATTTATGTAATTTGTATGGAAATTGTTCGAACCGTCAGGTGCTGAAAGAGATCAAGCTGTCCACTTACAGAACTGATTCTGCCTTAATCTGATCGTTCCTACTGATTAAATAAGAATCAAAATTCAGCTGTCTGCATCGGGAAGTTGCAAGAACAATCAAGCAAACTGACAATACATACAAAACGATTTAGATTCAAAAAATCTACTGAATATCGATGAATGTCAATGATCTAGTGAGATAATGTACTGCTACTCTGAATTAATGCTCATAACACTTAGGAGCAGATTCACTTTGACATCACACTTCCTGATGGATTTCTGAGCTTCTGAGTGCCCAAACTACTCACAGAACCAGCGGCACCGAGGTATCCACTGAAATTGCTGGATTCCTAAAAATTTGATGGTTAGAAATTCTTTTCGCACAGTTCCTTTCTGCTATTCCACATGCTATTTACTATTATCTGTCACATTATCGCAAACGGATTGTCAGGAATTTCGGCGCCTAGGATAAAACTTTTGATGCTGAAGGGATCAAGGGATCATGTGGACTATTGTCGGTCAGAAAACGACCTTAATCGGGGCTCTAATACTGGCTCGACCGACGTATCTACCCAATAGTGTTCGTGTTATGACGGCATTCTTAGAGATGCATCATTGACAATGAAGCATTACAATGATAACGAATAGCACGTTCACGAGCGAAACATCCAGTCGGTTGCGAAACAGATGAAGATGACCTCGAAGTACCCTCCTCTTGAATACTTTTGAGAAGATTTATTTTCCTTGGAAACAGTCGATCTTCGCACTTTCTGCGCGGTTTTTACAATATACTGCGCAAGAATTTCCGTTTTTTTTTTGAGCCAGATACCAAAGAGTTACTGTGAACTGCGTTTTTGAATAGAGAAAAGATGCGATCTCATTCCCCAGTTCTTCCACGGTTTTTTGTTGCCGATATCAGCTGACTAGAACCCTTTTATAGTTTTGTTTACTTTCAAATTGTACTACAGTGCCATAGGAAACATATGCGACAGTCATCTATAGAATAGACTTCAATGAGCTAACGAAGGCTATTTGTGTGGGTGAGTAGGGTCAAACAAATATTTCTAGCTAATCTCCTAAGAATCGTCACCTCATCTCGAGTTCTGAGAAGTAATCCTCTTTCATATATTTTCCTTTCGAAATAAAATTTTCACCTGTGCACTGGGTGCTAGGTAAGCGTTCGATGTTGATCTCTCCACACCAAGGAGCCAAAACGTCGTACACATCCCTTTTCCCTGGAAGTTAAATTACAGCGTATTCTTCAAAGATTAATCAGTAATAGAATATACTAAATGATTCTGTAAAGACTCTCTTTTCAAGCTGTTGATGAAATATGTAAAGCTACGAGTACTCTGCACATGCTCGGTTCTACATAACGTGTTTTCAAAATGATCTTTCGTGGACGATGATTGAAGAATGACGGAAAGAATGATTGGAGATAAAAACGCTGAATATACTAGCTGGGGTGGTGTATGTTATGATCTATCCTCTAACGCCTCACCTTCACTTGAATTTGTCCTCTTTCCTCTGTTTGATATTCTGGGTAATGTTGCAAAAGAAGTTTGTTGGCGGCTTCACTGATTTGCGTTTGTGCAGGTGAGCTATTGCTCTCCATTCGAGCCGACATGTTGACCTTGAACAACAAACTTCAGAATTTAATTTCCTTGTTGACTGCTCAATAAATCATCGGTGGATTATGTAGTGCCATCCAAATCCTCAAAAAGGTACCGTGTCTCCAAACAGGCAATAGCGGGGGGCGTTGAGCCCAACAACAGCTGCCGCAACTGGTCCTGAAAACGAGAATCTTTTTCGACCTACTTCAATTGAGTCATCATATTGGCTGTTCTCAGTGGATTTTAAGTTTTGGCTTTGCAGCCTTCTTAAAATCTTCTCATACTGCTTCTGCAGCCTTCTTAAAATCTTCTCATACTAAGTTGTACCTGTATGAAATCCGAGACGGCACACTATCCTTTGATCAGGCTTGTGTGGAACCTTGAAGTCGGTGAGAAACTGAAATTGATGCTCATAAACATTCCGCTTTATCGGATAATCATTGCCCTTCAAGCAGCCTGAAGTACCTTGTGAACATCCAGAGCAATGCTAGCTATTTCATTTATATGCCGATGTCCGTTCTCTTCCGGTACTCCGGAGACAACCATGTATGCGTCTCCAATCGTCTCCACCTAAATTATGTTTTTCGTGAGAAGACTTGCTTGTCAACTACAACTTTTCAGTTTCGAAAAATCAAATGATGAGCTTCATTCGACCACACTGCCGTGCATGGTCCACTTCGCTTCGGTACAGGGCCAATAACAAATCAGGACAGACTCGAGCATTCAGCAAATATGTTCTTTGAAGCCAATCCTCCCCTCTTCTTTCCTCCAATCGTTTCGAGTGTTGGAGAGCTGGACGTCATGATGGACATTTCTCACACGCGGGGCCTTGTGTTGCTCCTCTCGAAATCACGCAAGCGATACTGTCCCCAATTTTCCCCGTTATTTTAGATCACACGGAGCTTTCGGGCTAGCCCAAAGTCGGTTTCGCAAAGTGAATCGTCAGTTGCACCAATAAATGTAGAGGAATCAGAACAGATGATCGTTTTTAATCACTTAATACCAATACCCCTAGGATTGAAAAGTTTCATTACTGTGAGTGATTCCTTAGGCAAGACATTGTATGCATTCAACTATGATGACGGTTTCAAGAAGAAGTTTGACAGTGCTGTATTGTGAGGGTTCGGTCAGGGTCTTGTATTCCGAATTAAGCCCCAGTTATGATCAAGAAAACCGGAATCATACCTTGTATGCGTCCCTTCTTGCGATGAATTGATCGAAACCATCAAACACACCATTGAGAACGTTGACCACTTCCAATGGAGTGGCAGTTTTGCATAAATCGGCGAAACCAACAATGTCACTGAAATTGGTTACCATTTCATTCGTCTTCTACATCTTATTATAAAGAACATGCTTTTCTCAGGACCGGAAAGACAGGTCAATGAAAGAGGACAGTTGAACTTGTTGGAAAGGCTAATGACTGAAAACCTCACCTAAAAAGTATGGTTGCCGAAGCAAACGATTTCGGTGGAACTGCTCTTCCTTGTTTTAATTCTTTAGCAACATACCTGAAGAATATCATTAAAAATTTTCTTTTCATACTCAGTTGAATGAAGCAGTTGGAATAATTCCAGTAGTCTAGAAGTAAATATAATAGCATAACGTAATAAAAAATAACAAACTCTGGTAGAAGTTGACTTAATAGCTTATCGGCTCTGACGTTTGCTTCTTCTAACATCCCTGTTCGCTCTTGCACGAGTTTCTCGAGGTTGTTCGCATACTATGAACACAGCGGATTTATTGCAATACAAATGAACAGAATGACCTTCACTTTAGAGGCATGGTGAGCTTTTCTCATGGTGATCGAGGGAAAAACTCAATTCAAATAGCGTAGAAGGTCAATGTAATTCAATTCTGTATTTTTTACCCCTGTATTCTCATCGAGACTATCGAGAAAATGCCGAAAGAACGAAGCCGTGCAATGTTTCGTAATGCATTTCGGAAAACCTACACAAGATAGCATTACTGTAACGCGAGTAGTCTTAATCTTTCATGACTTCTTGTCGTAATTTCATGAATATATATGTTTTCCTAGGGCGGAGGTGGTGTAGTGGCAAGTGGCGCACTTCACACACGCATGGTCACGGGTTCGAATTCCGAATCGATATCCGCCTAGGCCAACCAAGCCATCTTTCCGGGGCTGGTGAATCGGTACCAGATTCATATCTGAGGAGCAGTGACTTGTACATCGGCTGGCCACCGCAAGTCATTGTATAGGCCACATACGCATTCATTACGCCACTACGGTTCTGAATGGAAGTCGAGTGCGGGGTGTATCCTTCAGACGAGATTGATGAAAGCCGTGAACTTTATCCTTTATCCTTTTATATGTTTCTTTATATGATGAATCCCTTTCTTATGACTATAATTTGATGTGAACGTCTGAAATATCATTTGTGGTACTGCTCTGCTATCGCCCCCCCCCCCCCCCCCCC